CTTTGAATCTTCCAATATTTCCTTGCACGCTAGTTATCTTATACTGATTCTGTTCAATTAGGATGGTATATAGTTTTAATTCGCAATAACAGTTCTTGAGTATTTTCGGAACCAGAAAAACAAAGTTTGTAGATTTGCTATAGTATCGCGAAGCAAATCTTTCTACACGTGGTCGAAGACTGGAACAACGCGGAATGATGGACATATGGTATACCAGTGGGTTATGCAGGGTACGAAGGGATTGATCGATAACGCGCGGAGGCCTGGACGCGGATCAATGATGCGTCCGACTATCAATGAGGAGTGCGACTGTCTACGGAAAAAAAATTTGCGGCGCCGCCACTGACTCTGGTATTTCCTACCAGCGGGTGTTCACGTGTAATGCCATATATTATACTGTATAGATAATGTATTTAATTCTTCCTGATGACTTTGATGACGGACTGTACATTACGTTGTTTCAGATAAATTCCATGGCAAACAGTTATTCATAATATAGAAACATTTTCTTCTTCATTACATTAAGTTTGAAATCAACGATGTTTCCAGGAACCTGTTAGGCTCTTAGCAGTGCGATTTCAGCACAAATCGCATGCAATCATATCAGTGCAACTTCCAAATTGCTCGCATCAGCTTGAGTAATTGTATTCGCTTCATTTTTCAAGCACGCAATCATAAACAAGTGCTGACCTTCCAAATCAACCAATCAAATCAAAGTATACAATTCAACTAGCCAATAAATTTTGAGAAAAAATAAGATTTGACAAATTCCTCAAAATAAATATTTCTAGGTTTGCAATAGTTCAATGGTTAAAATTAGAAAAAAAAATCACAAATAATGATGGGAATATTAGGCAGGGGAAAAATTGTAAAACATGGTGAAAATGTCAACAAAACATGAAAATCAGCTTTAAATCGACAAGCAAAACAAGGTATTAAATTCGTACTGTACGTTAATTTGAATACATCAAACCACCCAAAACGCCGTCAAATTACTTATAATAAAACCTATCATATAATAGAACCTATCATATAATAGAACGTATCATATAATAGAACCTATCATATATAATATCCGTAAATTTCGTGAATATTTTGTACAATTTGTTAGGATTTTACTAAACTTTAAATGAACTTGACATCTTATTAATGTGTTGCTACGCTACGGCATTCTGCATCAGAGGGAGGAGCCTTTTGTAAACAAAAATAGAATTTCCGGTTTTCAAAAATGTTTAAGATTTCAAAATAAATATAATATAATATTTATCATTTATAGACCTGACCTCATTTGTAGACCATTTATAGAGGGGGATTCGGCGAAATATTACCCGAAGTGATGATATTTCCCGAGGGGCTTTGCCCCGAGGGAAATATCATCACCGAGGGTAATATTTCGCCGAATCCCCCGAGCGGAAGGTCTATAAATGATATATTATACCGAAAATTAAAAGCCTCCAAGTTGAGAATTAAAAACTTGACACATACCTTCGTGAATACGATGTTTTATTTTCGGATTAACGCAAGTATCGTCGCTTTTCTTTCGAATCACATATCGTTTGGAATATTAATGACAAAGCCCCAGGTCTTAGATTTGAAAAAGCCCCAGGTTTTAGGTTTAAAATTGAATTATTCATCACTCATTAATACAGTAATACTATTTTATATGTTTTGTCGGCCATCTTGTTGTCATGCGTGTTGTCCCGCGTGATCTACGCGAATAATGTTCCACCCCATGTTCCCCGGGGAACATGGGGTGGAACATTGTCAAAAGGAACGCAGGCTCGCTAATTGATGACGTAAGGCGTGATATCGCGGTTAATTTCATGCTCACGTGGCACAAACTAAGCTTCCTGATTGGACAATTTGAATTTGAGGTATAATATAATTATATATGTCGTTGACACCAGGCCATTCAAGCTGGGAGACCCGGGTTCAATCCATGGTCGGACCCTCTATTCAAGGTCTTAAAATAATTGAGGAGAAGGTGCTACTTCTACAATTTGATCATTGAGCTGATGTAAGGTACCTGGGATCATAGAGATTATAAATAACACTAGAGAAGGCATCTAGTTTAAAAATTGGGAACGCAGCTAATGGGGGGCAAATTCAAGTCCCGGATACAAAATCGTGCTCTCATTGGCTGATTTGAAACTCGTCACCAATGGGAACACGAATACACATCCGGGACTTGAATTTGCCCCCCAATAGTCGCGTTCCATTTTTTTTACTGAATTAAGATTACAATGCCTCCTCTAGTGTTATTTATAATCTCTATGCCTGGGATCCCCAATCAATTGGCATGGTCAATAGCCGGTTGGGAAACCGCTCACCAATGAGTGAGAAATTCAATAAACAGATTTGACGAACCTCGTTCCCAGGGTCTTGGGTTGAGATTTGACATCATTATATTCTATAACCGCCTTTTGTAGTAACAAGTATGGTAGACAGCGGCGGTTCCATGCATGTCTAATACAAGGGCGGATTTTGATTTTTTTTTAAAGAAGGGGTAGAAAAATTTCTAGTGATGTGCAAGCGGCACCACTAAGAGAGTTTCGACAGGGGTCGTGCGTTTCACTCAAAATAGGAGGGGTGAAGCGAAATTTTGGTGGGGTTGAACACTTTATAAGCGGGGTTAGAGAGATTAAAGAGGGTTACCCCCCCCCCCCAGTAAATCCACCCATGGTCTAATGGATTTTTCAAGGGGGCTGCAACATTGCGCCACTACCGCAAATTATACCAAAATGCTTTTAGTGATCAAATTTAACATTCAATGCAGGTTACACGATGCTGTTTTAGGGTATTCTGCATGACTTCTTTCTGGGTGGTGGGTGCCTCCTGCACCCCTCCTAGCAAACGTACCTATTGGGTGAGTTCAATGATGAAACATTCAGCCTTCATTATACACATATACATTTCACAGTAACAACTGTGTCAAGCATGTGCGTTACAAGGTAGATTATAATGATTGTCTAAATTCAAACGGTGTGTTGTCGATTATTTTTAATTTGAGCGTTTCATGTCATCTAGATGTATAGAAACATTCAGCCGGTGCAACTTGCCATTCTTAATTCAAAGAGTTCATTGTGAATGGGATTTATGTACATGTACTGTATATCATAACAATATATAAAATTTTTTTTTATTTATTTAGGCCGCCCATTGCTACATTCATGCCGCTGCCTTAGTTGCAGAATATTTAAAGAGGAAAGGTATTAAATATAAGTACAGGTAATAGGACGATTTCGAGTGCAATTTGGATAAAACATGCACGAGTAAGTTTTTCAAAGAGCATCAAAAATGTTTGAGGTCTTTGAAAAACTCACGAGTGCTTGTTTCAATCCAAATTTTACGAGAAACCATTCTATTACGGATTAATAATATCCATGAAAATGTTCGAGACAATTGTAGTTTTAACTTACATTTATAGCGAACCGTCCGCTGACAACGTTGTCCTCCTTTGTTACACGGCAAAAAACGCCGAGACCGTTGCTCAACAGGACTGAACAATGTTTTGCTGCCCACGTTGTTCGCACTTGTCAACAATATTGAACAATGCTGTTGAGCCTGAATCGGGTGTAACAATATTGTTCAATGTTGTTGACAGCTATGAACAATGTGGGCAGCAAAACATTGTTCAATCCTGTTTTCATCAGTATTGCATCAACCTGAGCGTTTTTTGCCGTGTATAATTGACTTCTATAAAAGAGGTGGAAAATGTTTTTTACTTTTTGGGAACTTGGGTTTAGGGCTCAAACTTTTCTGCAAAAGATAACAATAAGTAGGAAAAAAATTGTTGTTTGTGACTGTCTTAAAGTCATTGTAGTTACAGTCTTACAAGATTAAAAACAAATTTCCTATATGAATATTTTTTATGAAACTTTCTCCTGTACATTAGGTATCGAGTTAGTCGATTAATTAAGAATACTCAATCATTTCAATAATTAGGTATTTAGTATTTTGGATATTCAGTAAGTCATTTTCAGAATTAGCTACCAAACATAAAAAATATGTGCGAAAATTTCTGAAAAAATGTAGATCCATAAAATATTATGGCAAGGTTCCAATACTTTTTCCGACTCCTGCTCTTTATGGTCAAAGCGACGTACGTACGTTAGGGTGGATTGAAAAGATCGTTACTTGGCCACCTGGCCTTTTATCGAACATTCGTAGAAAACTGTGTTTTGTTTCTTTTTAATAATTTCACGTTGTATGACTTTTGAAGGAACATATCCTGAAGGATGTGAAGCATTTCGTAATGTCTCTCCAAACATTGTGCCAGATGAAAGTGTGATGAAAAATGATGAAGGATTAGTGAATGAACAAAGATATACTACTGTAAGATTATTGTTTTAAAATTTATATTTTATTTAAATGAGAGGAGAATTTTTGCCGAGATTTTGGCCGGCGTATTTTGGCATGATCGGCGTATTTTGGCATGTTTGGTCAATTTTGATCTAGCATTTGGTAGGTATGACATGCGACGAAAGCGACGCCATACTTACCAGATGCTAGCCGCCGAAAATGGACCAATGCTGCCAAAGCCAGCCGAGTAAAGGTTCTAGGCATAGATATCTTGTATACACTAGATAGTGCATCTAATTATTCTGCAATTCAAAAATTGAAGCCGTGATTGCAGGCTCAGGGTATTCCCATGAAATGAGAAGATTCGTTTGTTTTCTATTTCTTAAACAGGGAACTTAAACACTAAGTTAAACCTATTCCAAATAGATTTTTAAACTATTCAAATGATGAAAGTTATTGTTGTTTTTTAAACGTTTATTAGCGAGTGGGAACTACCAACCTGGCCGCCATCTATTCAAATGAGGGTAACCGCTGGAATATTCTTGGCTTCATTTTACTAAAGGAGATGCGCTATCTAGTGTATATAAGATATCTATGGTTCTAGGCTGGGCCCTTGACATAAATCTTATACTATAAAATAAAACCATAAGCCAATAGAATGAGTAACAGGTTGATCTCAAAACAATGAAAAGACAATGGAACATTGGATCATGACTGGAAGGCATGACTGGATATTATTATGCTAGGTGTTATGCAAAGAGCCAAAATAGCAATATCTTTTAAGATTTTCATATACTTACCGTCAACGTTTTGGAGTAGGTCTCTAATTTTGATATGGCAACTGTGTGACGTCATTAATACGACTGTAGTATACCGTATATGATAATATGACTATTATCTTGATTATTAAAATTTGGTACTGGTTTTTATAGAACAATCTTGTAGAGTTGCTAGAGAAAAGTGCAGATCTCCTGGCCCAGGCAGAACGCTATGAAGTGACTGGAGAAATTTATAAACTAGTTATTCCTGTTTACGAACAGGACAGAAATTTTAACGTAAGTTTGAATGATATATTGCAATTTTTGAAAGTAAAGAACACCGTTTATCTGTACAGTTTTATTTTGCCACAACCTGGATAATCGAAGCCAAGGTTTCTCTCGTAATCTAATACTCAACCAACTAAGCTAACTAGTAATGGCGCTTTAAACTTGTTTTATGACTTTTATCTAATTAGAGCGCACAAATATATATTGTTGGGACGTAGTAGTGGAGAGTTTAAACATACTTAAGACAGAGATGTACTATTCAGAAGTGTCACACGGCTTGAAATGCCAGCCCTGTATACAAAACGTAAAAGTTTGTATTTGCCCTCGTCAATAGAGTCTGAAGGACGTATGAAACTACTTTTTTATATCTCTGAGGATGGTTCTGTAATGGAATTGAAACATTGCGCATGCGCGTCCTCCAAGACAACCGTTAGTTAAGTCGTCGCTAAAATATTTCCTGTACTTAAATTGGATAAGACTCGCGACCAATCCCTGTTGATGATGGACTAGATACTCGAAGATGCGAGTTCGAATCCCGCTCGAGACAATGAATTTTTCGTGCTAGTCTGCTGTATCAGAATAATATGAAACTAGTTTTTCATATCTCTGAGGATGGTTCTGAAATAGAACGTCCAATCGGTCTGAAAATCACTATTTTATTGACATGTACTTTCATTTCCTTCCATTTTATTCATTTATTTTGTACAGCTGACATGCAGCCGTCATCCTGATTTGTCGTTTCCACTCTTTGAGGACTTGCAATCCTATTGTAGGGTTATAAGTAGAAAATAAAATTTTAAAATCGTATTTTCACCAGGCATTATCAGTTGCTTACAACAACCTATCTCAAGCATATTCCAAAGTTGTTGCAGCTATGGCATCTCGTAAAAGATTGCTTGGATCTTATTTCCGAGTGGCATTTTTTGGGGAGGTAAGTCTGCTAGATAATACTGCACATGTAACCACATGAAATATATACTGTACCGATACATAAACCATGATTCATATATTCCGATCCATATAGGCCCTGAAAAATACAATTTTATTCCACTGCAGATAATGAACAGATCCGAGGTTATGGATTGCAAGTTTTGCCAATATTTTAATATATTTACGTATAGTGTCTGTGTCTCCCGTCTCGACGTACGTGGAACGTAATACTGTAGTTACTGTACGTATTACAAACGTTTGATAGAAATTCGCGTTGTGAGACAAGCTGTTGAGAATTGGATTGAAAATTCCATTGAACAGCTGTTAGTATTTAACAATTATTCGCCGAAGGCGAGGTGATTATCGGGGAATATTCGCCGAGACCGAAGTCGGGGTGAATATTCCCCGATAATCACCGAGCCTGAGGCGAATAATTGTTTTGGTATTTTTACACAAGTCTTTTGTGTTTTTTTGGGACTGAATTTATTTTAATTTCGCTTATTTCTTTATCAGTAACTTCCACAAAACGGCTTGGCGGCCATTTTGAAAATTTTGTTTTGTTATATTCGCCTGTATAGGTGAATATAACAGCTTTTAAAATACGTCAACTTGTATGATTTGTTCTGTTCACTTGACTATATCCAACTCCAAACCCATGCAAATCTCCATGGTAATATCTTTTAATAAAAATGCTTGTATAGCCGGCTCTGACAACCTTGAAGGCTTCTCGTAGTTGCTATTTTTGGCCTTCATTATGCACATACGCAGTTAAACTATCTTAAAATTTAAACTTTAGTATAAACAAAGTGTTCTACTGACATGCAGCTTTTAAGTTAAAACGATAAGATAGGTTGAAACTACGAAACTATTTTCGTCTATGTAGGATTTTGGTTCTGACAATCGAAAACAGTTTATCTATAAAGAACCGAAGGTGATGAGCTTAAGTGAGATTTCATTGAGACTAGAGAAACTTTATAGCGTCAAGTTTGGAGGAGATAAAGTGAAACTGATTCTTGAATCTGCCAAGGTAGGATTGATGAAGTATATCACACACGAGAAAGAGGTCTTTTTGTCACTTTCTGAAGCTCGTTAATAGTTAATATGCTATACCTCATGTGAAGATCTTCCTACTTACAATTTTTGACTTTATACAAGAAATATATTAGTATAATTTGTGCATTGCAAATGTCAAATGAGCTTTCGCGACTTCTGATTGGTCACTTGAGGCATTAATATATACATATTTGTTATATAGTTAGTGTCAAAAGTTCAATTTTTCTGTTTGCCGATTGGTCAAAACCGTATCACGTGCCGGTCCACAAAACGTCACGTTCACTGCATGCTTTGGCGAGAAGGCCAGCCGGTCAACAATGAAACATTTATTGACCGGTCAACAATAGAATGGGTGCAATACGCATGCGCGTCAACCATGAAGTTCCAAAGTTCATTTTTCAGTTAAACTTTTTATTATTAAACATTTACGGCGTTCCATTTATCCAGTTTTGGTTTCAAATTAAGTTCACTCCAATAACCGGTGAATTATTCATACTTTGACACTTATATATTATATAACAAAACCTCTGGAAAGCCGTGTGTTTACTGGTGTTGGTGTTCCCCAGTAACTATATATTGTTTTATAAATATTCGTTTTCCACTCATATTCACAAATGGTATGTAGCAGAGAGATGAATCTCCCAGAAATAGTTATGACAGACTTGTTAATCTACTCCCCCCGTGGGATGATCCTAGATCCACACTTGCCTTACTTAATTTCATGTCTTAGTTGATTCATGTGTGCCATGTCATTAGTTGATTCATGTGTACCATGTCTTTATTTGATCTGTAGGTGAACGTTGAGAAGCTAGAAAGTGGTATAAATTACATTCAGGTAAACTTGGACACCTGTATCGAACTCTACCATAACACAAAATTTGAATAACTAAAAGAAACACAAGACATGTATTTGTACACAATCCTTCCTTTTATAATCTTCAATGTAATATCAAGCATTTCTTGCGCAAAACGTATCTTTTAGCCCATCTTAATCATCATCTTAGTCCGAAACATATCTGGGTCAACCCGATAATGAAATAAAACTACCTATATACAATATGGTCTTTGTTTTTCTTAGATAACATATGTTGAGCATTATTTTGAAGAAGATGAACTAACTGAACGGCCAACTGTGTTTGAAAGAAATAATAATATTCGAAGATTTTCATTTGAAACACCGTTCACTAAAACTGGCAAAAGTCATGGATCTCTAGTGGAACAACTCAAGAGAAAGACAATACTGACAAGTACGAAAAACGTTTTGTCAACTATTTGAGTATTCACCAGAGCTTCGTATACACTGCATGTACATACACTATCAGGAAATACGAGCAAGTTCATTCTATTACGTCATATAATCCTGTCCCCACACCAAGCTCAGTTCCTATGTACTATAGACAAACTGTTGTTTGCGGAGGTTTAGTAAATACTTCTTTTTCAACAGCATCTCATTGTTTCCCATACGTCAAAACACGAATCTTGGTTGTGCAGGAAGAACAGTACGAACTTACTCCGATTGAGGTTGGTAACAGGCTACACGCAGTTTTACACTTGTAGTTCCTTTATCCAGCTTTATTATCTATGCTTTATCTATAGTGTGTATCAAAAAAGGTAATCCAACTTAGATGGAGGGTTTTTACTTTTATATAGACGGAAATTATCGAGTGGAACTTCTATATACATTTATTAAACTCGATAATTTCCATCTACAAAACGCTCCATCTATTATTCAATCGAGTGAGATGCCAACAAAATCTTAATCATCCAACTTTAGCATGTTTGCGTGCGTAGATACTGCGTTTATCGATAACATTTTTACACAGCCACCAAATTCATACTTTTAGTTGTCGAATGATACTTTTTGTATCATTTTAAAGGGAAATAACTAAATACTAATATACTAATATTTTGCTTGTGATGTTATTCTGAGTGTATATCCACACCGGGCAAGTTTGAAAAAAATACCTGGCCACGGTGGGAATCGAACCTACGACCTTTGGATGCTATAATATCATACTAATATTTATACTAAAGTTATATATTTCAAGCCCTCTTATACTTACATTAAATAATATGAGTGCAAATAGGTTTTGTGTTCAAAGTACAAGTATTTTAGAGAATTTCATTGTTTTATTCTGTTAAAGGTTGCGATTGATGAAATGTGCAAGAAGGTGCAAGAAATTACTGAGGTAACGATGTCGAACCCCCCTGATATGAAGAAATTACAACTAAAACTACAAGGAAGTGTTGGTACACAGGTATGCACGTTAAATCCTGTACGGGGAGGGAGGATGATTTTCATGCTAGTACGGTTAAACTATGTAGCACGTCAATAGAGTAAATGAGGAAAGAAACTCGATTGGAATCCATGGGAACTAATTGTTTGTCATTGCGTTAACATGTTTTTCGTCAAATCAACTTTCATTACCCCTCCGTAATCTCACAATAATGGATTTTGACCATATTTTGCATCAATCCATTAAATTGACACAGGTACTGAGTTGCATTTCCATCGAGTTTCCAAACTTTCTTTCGTTCATTGTCTATGTATTGCAGGATAAAATTCTTGTGTGGTAATTTAAGCGTGCTAAAACAGCTAAAAGTTAGTTACCTTTACCATACTTTCATTGCTAGGTAAATGCTGGTCCATTGGCGTATGCTAAAGCTTTCCTTCATGAAAAAGTTGTTCGTGACCATCCTCCAAAACTTGTCTCGAAACTTAAAGTCGTATACAGGTAACGATTATCTTTTGTAGTTGTACTTGCATGCAAATCTGTGTGTTCTCAACACATCTCTACATTTCATTGTGGGTATAGTATTTATACATAGTTAAGCCTCCAAGCTCCCGTGGTTTGTATTTGTACTACCTAGAATAATTAAAAACACCTAAAGTTTTGAGCGAATGCCATTCGTTAGGACTAGTTACTAAAGAAAATCCTTCGCTCAAAATTGACGTAATATTTTATCATCACTACCATGATATAAGACTGCATCCCGGTATATCTCTTGCCAGTGAAGACGTTTGTCAAAGATGGATTCCCTTATTTCGTAGGATTCAATATTATCGTATAACATAAACCTGATCTCATAATAATCACACAAGCTATTGTTTACCATGACAGAAAAACTAGGTGCATATTCGAAGCCCTGAATAGCCTTTCTCCAATATATTAAATATCACAGCATGCATCTCTTCGCCAGTTTGCTTCAAAAATCAATATTTGGTTGATTGATTCCTTAAATTCTCGGCATCAATGCAATTGTCGCAAAAAAGGGCATTTATGCAATGGTCGCAATATGTAACACATTAAAAGTAGTTTACATACATTTTAAATACAACGTTTTGTTATTTAGAGATTTTATCCGTTGTTGTGGTGCAGCTCTTGATCTGAATGACCAACTTATTCAAGATGATCAAAAAATGTACCAAGAAGATTTGAAAGATAAATACTCCTCTATGAGGCACGAGTTAGCCTCGTATATTGATTTAGTAAGTTTTAAGTATCCTACTTGGCCGAAGCTCTTATATTGGCTTCAATTGTTTCATAACGTTCACAGCAAACAGGTATAAAATCCAACATTTAGGTTTACGTAGCCTACGGCGTAGACCCCGGCAGAAACCGTAGACTAGGTTTACGTGAATGAATACATTCTCCGAAAACATGACCCAATCTGTGTACTCCAGTATTCATATGCCGGGATGCCAGAGGTTTTTCCACGCACGCAAAAAATAACTCAAACGAACGTCAAATAGCAACTTGACTAGCAAGTAGGCTTTATATTTGGACCAACGTCTGGCAACATGCAGGATAGTATTCATCAGGGGTGATCTAAAGTTGCTGCGTGTCCCCTTGTGTACAGGAGGGATGATGTCACCGCTCAACAAGTGAAGATACCCTTGTGAATGATGGCTACCATGATACCATCATCTCAGAAACTTATGGAAATCGAGAGAGTTGGAACACACAGCTATATAAATACGACGTTTCCTATGTTTTTTAACATTTTTTTCTTTATTTTAGAACCTAGCCGCTTCCAGCTGTAGTATATCATCCATTGGTTCGTCCAAAGCATAGTATCGGCTCAAGCTAAGTTAATTAATAGATAGAACTAGCGAGGTATTCTTTGAAACAACTGGAAACGCGACAAATTACATTGAACAGTATTTTATTTAGACCTAGAAGGTTACCCATATAGGTGTTTTAATGTGTGTAAGATGGAGCAGTGGTCGTTATTTCTTCGTTGTGCATGCAATGCATAGATGAAAACGTCGTATTTGTGCGTCTTCAAATGATAAGACATGCAGAATAAAATGGTATTATAGTTATTGATTAGATATTATTTCCAGGCACTTTCATTGAAATACCCAAACCCCCAAGTATTTTTATTTGTCATTAATTATTTATTAGATTAATTAGATTAATTTTAATCCAAATAAGCTCTTTGCAGTTGGCGTGAAAACACTTCGCATAACAATATCTGGAGGGCAAGAAAAGAAAACTGCTTTGCTTTACTCCTTTGTTCACAAACCCCCCAGCTCTTCATATGCTCTCCAGTCACTTATTGTTCTCAACTATTTTCTGTTAACTGCAAAGAGGCTGTTGTGGTAATATAACTGCCTCGTACCCAGGCGTTTTGGTAGCGCCTGGGTACGGGACAGGTAATATAATTTTACCTGACATTAGGTAAATCAGTCGTGATAATCTAGATATTTTAATTTGCACAGTTGTATTTTAAGTACATAAATGCTAATAATAATAGCTAATTAGACAATCTGTTAGTCGAGATACTAAGTAAGGTGGTTTATATATACGTAAGAAAAAGTCTCGCGAACCCCCCTCCCACAATAATAATAATTTTAGCGCATCTCTAAAACTAAAATGTAAAATAACCGTTTGTTGTTAGCTTGCGTTAGCCGAAGATCTGAACTTCACTATAGCACAGAGCTACGAACTTTCGTTTTTTCTTACGTATAAATAATCGAATTTTTGTTAATGTTATAAATAGTAATATAAAAGTAGTACATTTTATGTGAAATTTATTGAAAACTTTAACTGTCACAGTGAAAGTTTAACATGTGATCCAAATGTGTTGCTTTTCTATCTCTTATAAAGTAAGTTCAAAGGTTCGTGCAATGTCTTGTCTGAAGAATCCGTTTAATAATTAACAATTATTCGCCGAAGGCGAGGTGATTATCGGGGAATATTCGCCTAGACGAAGTCGAGATGAATATTCCCCGATAATCACCGAGCCTGAGGCGAATAATTGTTTTAGTATTTTTACATAAGCCTTTGTGTTTTTGGGACTGAATATATATTTTAATTTCGCTTATTTCTTTATCAGTATAACGTCCACAAAACGGCTAGCCGTCATTTTGAAAATTTCGGTTTTGTTATGTTCACCTGTAGATGAATATAACGGCTTAATACGTCAAATTTGACCAATCAACGTGTAGGATTTGTTATGTTCACTTGTGCAAAAATACTTAATGTTAATAATAAATTTTAATTAAGTTTCGAGCATAGGATTCAGTGTGTAAGAAGGGCGTGCTACTCATCCTTATACTTGCAGCTGAGAGCTGAGCTGAATTACGAAGGACGCAGCTCAATCTGATGGAGTCAAAGGCTTACTAAGGGCGCCTCTAGCATGCAGCCACCATGTGATTCATGTCTGATCACGGAGCACTAAGGGCGCCTCTAGCATGCAGCAACCATGTGATTCATGTCTGATCACGGAGCACAGCTACGGTGGAAGGGTCAGTTTGGGGGATAATTACTACTAACATAATCATGAGACTTTTTGAGAAAATTGTTTTTAGAGAAGAGATTTTGGAACACTCTAAGTCAATCATGGGCCATGATCAGTTTGCTTATAAAAAAGGGACAAATACAGCAGCCCTGTTAAATGCCGGCATCATTGGCTGAAATTGTTGGACGAAGACGCTGAGTTTGTTCGAGTTTTATCTTTTGACTTTAGTAAAGCCTTTGATTCGGTCCAGCGTGATGTCGTAACTGAAAAACTTAAACAAATCTAAGTCCTTGTATCATCAATTGTTATTTTACGAATCGAAAACAAAGAGTCGTGATTGACGGAAACATAACAGAATATGTTGATATTAATTAGGGAGTGCCATAGGGAACTGGCATTGGCCCGTTTCTATTTTTAAGTTGCTGTGTTAAATCTACCAATAGATAACGTTGTTTGCATCGTTGCTAACCAATTCACAACCTTAGATAACCCTCATGCCATTGTTACTGCTGTTCTGTTAACAAAGCAGTATTAATTATTATGTATAAGAGGTATACACTCAATGTAGGTAATTCTTAGTTACGCTTGTTCTATTTTATGTCTCTAGAATAATATATAGTAACTAGGCATGCATGTGAGTTATCTAAATTTGTGAATTGGGTATAAATAAAAATGTTAGCAAAATTTGGCTATTATGCATTCGCCTGGTAAAAACCAGGCAGGTTCATTTTCGGGCTAATTCGCCCGTGACCAGACGTATATCAACCGTTTTCTAATGTTTTGACGGCATTGGACCAAAACAATAAAACAACCTGTTGCAACTAAACGTCTAGTCGTGTGAGGTAAAGAACAGGAAATCTTTTTAAACTACAAAAAATATTGGACAGGAAGAAAGGTGTAATTCAAATGGTTCCGTACCTACTTGCTCGTGTCTCGTTACCTTGAATCATTCTCTGAGTAGTGTTATATTTTCACTTAAATTTGATCAGAAAATCAAAAATCACAACAAATATGATCTACTGTAACAAGAACGAAATATTTGATTTACTGTTTGTTGCTATTGGTATTTTAATGTTGTTAGGGAATGCAGTTGCATTAAAAAGTAAAGGTAAATGTTTAAATCGTTATTTTGAAGCTTATACTCGTATATAGTTTTATAAAAATATTGAAATAGTGAAGTATTTGTTTACACAGAAGAGGTCTGCTGGTGGCCATATTGTAAGGCCATAATGCATTGCAATCTCACTGCCAAATGCCACGCATCCAGTGGCGCAAAAACTTCTCCTGTTTGATTTAGTATGAACTAAAACAGCTATTGCACTTAATTGACCTAAACAAGGCTAGCTAAAACCGGCCATTTTTTAAATGTTTTCTTAACTGTTCGTTCACTCGGAGCAGGAATTTTTCACCAGCACCGTATTACGTCTTATCAAAACATTACATATTTACCCTTCGAAAGAAACACGCGACGTTTCTTGGCACAATACCGATATTTGATTCTCTGACTATTTAAATGCAGTATTTAATGAAGTTGAATATGTTGGAAAGAGACGGATAGTTAAAATCGAACAACTGGCAACTAAGCAAGACAATAACTTGGAACACATTTTTGTGGCATATATTTTGGGCAGAGAAGTGATCGAAAACAGTTCCGGCCGAACTGTCTAGAGGCTCTCGCTAACCTAAGTTTTATCTAACAGCCATCGTGCATTTCCAAAAATTGAAAAACAAAACAAGCATATACATCTAAGAATCCTTCTCAACTTCACTTAATTGAAATAAATATAAAGTGGTATATATATACCAAATATATATATATATATATATATATATATATATATATAT